AGTGAGAAAGTTCAAGTCCAACTTCAGATAAATAGTGAGTTCAAGTGGGCTACATGAGATCCTCTCTCAAAATGAACAAGAAAAGACAAAGATAACTTGTTCCAATGAGCAAGTAGAAACAATGTTAAGAGAATTTTATAGTTAAATGGATGTCATGGCACACACCTTTAATCCCAGTAACCAGGAGGCACAGGCAGGTAGACTCTGGGTTTGAGGCCAGCTTAATCTAAGTGAGTTCCAGGAGAGACAAGACTACATAGAGAGACTCTGTCTCAAAAAACCAAAAGCAAACAACAACAAAACAAATGGCGGGGAGAATTTTATCACTAATGTACTTATAGTGCCTATCAGATATTGATCATCAGTAACTCACAAAATATATACATATATGTATGCATCTACATTTTCTTCCCACATGTGTGTATGCGAAGGTACAGCTACTGCCAGCACTGGCCTGCAGGGTAGGCCAGCATGCCCTCACCCTGAGTCTATGGAGACTAGCCCTGCAGTAGCTGACAGTCATGAAGGACAAAGCTCTATGGCTGGAGCTTTCACTCTATAGCCTGTTGGCTGCTGGTGCTCAAGGTCAGTAGGAATTCTTACCAGGGATGTGATAACACTTATTGTGGATTCTGCATATATATGGACTGTGGTCCTTTCACATGTCAGCAACTAGGCATCTGACTGTGTCCTCTGTGCAGTGTAGACCTCATGGAACCGTGGGATGGAGCTTACAAACCAGTCTATCCCATCCGTTACTGTGTGGCTTTCCCGTTACAGCTGCTCTCTAGGCCTTCATTGAATGAGGAAATTTAAAGGCATTCTGGTCTTCGTACTCATACATTTTGACATTCTCTAGATACATGAAGCCTGTGCATCCTACAAAAGAACTCCTCGCCTGCTTGGTCGCTATCAGGCTCATACTCTAGGCCTCCAGGAGACCTACTGAAGAGCTGCCCTGGCCATGCTGTCCCTCTTCCCACCCCCACTTCATAGCCATCTTTACTATCACTGTGAGCAAGCTGCCAGGCTGCCACAGGCTACAGTGCTTAGATAGTTTCTTGGGTTTCTGTGCCTCTCAGAGGGAGGGGGCAGCATTGGGGTCTCTGGCTAGGATCTACAAGAAGTGGTTTCTCAGACAAGAAGTCTTTTCAAAAACAGCAGAGCTAGTCACCCATACCATACCTTGTCTGTAATCCATGCTGGTTCTGACTTTACAGAATTTCCTGTTCATCTGGTTGACATCATTTTAATTCCTGTGTGCACTGAATGCCATACGTTTTCTAGAGAACTTTTTTAAATCCCTTTATTTATATGTTTGTATTCCTTACTAAAATATGCGATCTCTATATCACTCTCACTGCTGCTCCCCCAAAACCTGTTTCTCTCTCATAACTTTAAGATGAAAATACCTGACCACCAATATAAGATCACATATTTACTATGTGATGGTAGTCAGATCAACTCACTGTTTTCCATAGTTATAGCATGAAATCCAGTTCCTCTGCTTTGACAAATTCGTGTCTTGTTTGGTTGGCTGAAATGAAGGAACTGGTGCGTGTATTTGGTTAAGTATCTATTTACTCTTCACGGTGCGAATCAGGCACCACACTAAGGTCTAGAATGAATTAATGACAGGACAAAGTCCTCATGCTGTGGCACTGATGCTATAGTTAGAAAAATACATACTAGATGAACAAACAAGGTCAGCACTGCAGGTCCGCACAGAAGGCCCTGGGAAGCAAGTGACTGGTGGTGATTGGGAACACTGGGGAATGAAGTACTTTAGTTGAGCTTCTGGGAAAGACTTCTCCAAAATAGTTTATTCAGAAAGTGACCTGTGAGGCCACACTTACTTGGAAGTATCCTGGACCACATATAAGTGTATTCTGTCCATGGTGTCACATCAGTGAATTGTAGCTCCTCTCTGCCCAGGTCCCTTCTACAGCAGGAAAAGTCTACAGAAGAAGCTTCAGCAACTTCTTTCTCTGGAGTCCCTGTTGTTAATTTCTGTCCATGTCTTATATAGCTTCGTTCTCTTCTGGTCTGATGTGGGTCCATGGCATCTTCCTGTTCTCCATGCTTCTCTTCTTTGGGACCCCTCATGCCTTTCTACTGCTTCTTTGGTCAGCTGCCTGAACCTTAAACCCATACAATTGATTCCAGTTCTCATTCATGACCCTAAAGTTTCTTGGGCTGCATTGTTTTCCTGCTAGCCTACCCAGCCTTTGTACCAGAAGCAACTTCTTATAGTTAACTTCCATAATAGTATTCTCCAAATTTATCTGACTGATTGACTGATGGTTGGGTCAGTGTTCAAAATGTAGTTAAGTGCTCATTAAATATTAAATATTTATTGAATAAATGAACAAATGAACTGACTCTGAATTTTACCCAACCTAACTATAGGGTTGAAATTAATTCCCCCTACTATTATCCTGTGTGTTGTGTGTGCTTGGGGGGGGGTAATTCATACATGTATATTCTTCACATGTGATATGCATATAAAAAAAATCTCTCCTTAGGCCATTAAAATATCTTCACTTCTTCATTGATTTCTTTGATTTCTCATCTATTTTCTCCATTTGCTGTATGTGTGGAACTTTGTCATTAATCCCAGAGATATCTAAGGGCATTGGCAGAGTCTTTCTGCTTTTTGTTCATCATCTAGCACAGAGCATTTTGAAAAGCACTCTCTGTGTGTAAATGCTATTTTGGTAATGATGGTGACAATAGATGGTTTCAGGTTTGGGGGTTTTTATTTTCAGCATTATGAATAGTCAGACGCATCTACTTTAGGCAGAAATTTTCTAAGGAAAACCTTTGCATGTAGTAACAAATGACTTTCATGGTTTTTTCTTTTAATAACAAATACTATATAATTTGAACCACCATAATCCACAAATTAAAAATACTTCAAAATATGACAGTTTTGAGTGCCACTATAACACTACAAGTGTCATCGATCCCTAGCTTCATGTGAAGTGTTACACTCAAAAATTGTGTACTTTAAAAGTAATATTTTAAGATTGCTATCAGTGTAAATATATAAATTATATAGGAAGCAAATGAATTTTATGTTTATATTTAGGTCCCATCTACAATCATTATATGTTTGCAAATATTCTAACATTTGAAACAATTCTGAAATGTAAAATATTTTTGCTCCCAAGCATTCAGATAAGTGATGCACAACTAGTCCTCACCTTTTTATAAGTAGACATATGCTTAGAGTCATGTCTACCAGTTTGTTTCAAGAACTAGAGCCTAAGAATTATTAAATGAAAATCCAAATGTGCTTTCAATCAGAAATAATACAATGACCCTCAGTTTTGAACATCGTCTGTCTATAGTCCTAAATATTTAAGTAAGACCCAAGGTGGATAAATAATCCCTTTGAATATTTGTTGCTTGTTTTATGTTCTGTGATTCAAAAAACATACATAATTTATACTTCGAATTTTATATAAATGTACATGGGGTTTTGGCCCATGTACACAGGATCTTCTTCAACACAATGGTTCACTAGCTACGATTTTGTTGTCCAGTAAGACACAACTGTGAAGTAGTGGGACAGCATCTCCAACAAATGGAGTAGGAGTTACATGTTCAGGAGGCTCCTTTGCATGGAAGCAGTCACCTGGAGAAGCTCTGCATTTATTCTGGTAAAGCTGCTTACCGGTGGCTTAAGGATGGAGTGGAATGCCTCCTCTTAATCTCCTTGTGTAACGCTAAGAACCATAAGGAGTAAAAGGATATAGTATTATAAATATCTTGAAGTTGGATTTGAATATGGGACTCTGTATAAGCAAATAAGAATGTCCAAGGCCAAGTGTCATGAACAAAAAGTATGGAGTCATAATTGGAAGTGAGATGGCAGTGTGAACTTTCTGGAATTATGCATAAACTTACCTTGAAATAAATGTATAAGCTCCCAGGGTAGCTACTGTGGCACATAGTGTTCATTTAGTTGAGAAAAGAAACAACGTGTGCGTGTTTGCAAAATAAGATCAGTTTTATTACTTTATAGACCTTGTAGATGAAAAATATACTCCCTATCATGGAACTCTTTATAAGCAAACTTCTGAATGTAAGTAGAATTTCTGTCTCACCCTTTTTAAGTCTGTTGAGAAATCTGAATTTCTAATAACTGCTTTGAACACAATGCTGTGGAACCTTTTCTAAAAGCAGATGCTTTGCGTTTCACTTCACTTCTTTGGGATCAGCTTTGTGCCTCCGCTAGTCAGTGTTTTATTTAGTATATCTATCTTTGTTCCCCCTGAGAGACTCAAAATGTACTTTCTTGCTGTTAAATTATCATCAAGCAATTGAAAGGAACGTCTATGCCCATGGCTATTAATTGTTCCATGGTGTTGAGACCTTCTGTTTGAAGTGCTTGTAGCTAATGCCTTTCCTTTTCTTAAAAATGGGGCCTCCGTATCTAGGTAAATAAGAGCATCTATTAATTTAGAGAAGATTCAAATTTTAGAATGAGAACTAAAGACTATTTCAGCTCTGGGGCTCCCATTGTAGTTGTCACTCTCATTAATGATAGAGTCACCACAACTGCTAGACCATGCTCCAGCAATGATGAAGACCCCAGCAGGACTCACTGGCCGAGCATGAGGAGAGGCGCTGATGTATATACTGCATGACTGGGACTTTTCCAATTTTATTTCATCACACCCATCACCATTCCAGGTCAGCCAGGCCTGTTTCTTTATTGCTGAACTGAAATAAAAGTAAAACGGAGCATGAAAGCCAAAGAAAATTGTTATCCTTGCTCAGGAGGTGAAGACAGCTCAATTGCGACATATTTTAAACTTCAAATTTGACACATTTGATTGGAAAATTGTGTGGCCTCTGTAGTTAGAGATCAGAATGGTCAGCAGTTCACACGTTTTTAAAAGTCATGGAGTGGTGTTCTTACCACAGATTGATAGAGTGTTGTTTTATTCTGTCAAGTAGTAACCATTGCACAAATGTCTATTATTCTGCAGTTTGGCGATTTAAATGCTGTGTCTCCTGGAAATCTGGATAAAGGTAAGAACTGAAAACTTTGAAGGACTCTGAGATGCTGTGAGAGGAAGCAGCATCACTTGCATCCTCTGGACATAGTGAGCAAACCTGGGTGTAAGCAGCAGCTGGTTGTCGCTGGCATCCCGCATGACGTTGCTGTCTGTCTTCCTTCACCCTCGTGTCTTCTTCATATGAAGTGCATTGAATGCAGAAGACATAATTGAAATGCACTTCTAAACACCCTTATAGAAGTTCAATGTAAATTAAAAAGATATTGACCATGACCAAAATCCTGGAAGAAAATTCCAAAATTGGACCAGAGATTTTTATTCAAGACCAGACAAGAAAAAAGATTCCTTAGCTTACCCGTCAGTTAACTTTTCAATAGAAAAAGAACTCAGAGGTAGTTGTGGTGTTTATTGTCAAACCACAATGAATAGTAGTTCAGTTGAGAAGGATAAATAGATTTCAATGCTGGCATTGTCAATCTAGGGTGTGCTGTTATGCAAGCACAATGTACACATTTGGTCAATCAGACAATACAATGGGCTGGAGAGAAGTTAAGAGCATTGACCACTCTTCCAGAGAATCCGGGTTCAAATTCCCAGCAACCACATGGTAGCTCACAACTATCTGTAACTCCAGTTCCAGGGGATCTCACACAGACATACATGCAAACAAAACACCAATACACATAAAAACAAAAGGAATCCTCAAAACAATCTAACAAGATATATATATATATATATATATATATATATATATGCACAGTAATGCAGATGTACACAGTGGGTCTTAAGAAATGAAAAGGAATAGGTCAAAGGTGGGTTGAGTAGACTAGAACACATAAATCCTACCCAAAATGACGATAGAGTTTTAAATCATAACATGCCTTTCAGTAAAACAACACTACAGTGAATATAGCCATCTTCTTGCTCAGGACTTGGGGAATTGTTATAGTTATTAGCTTTTCTAGAGAGAACTACTGTTACACCTTATAACCAGAGGCCTCTAGAGAAAGAGGCCAGAGGAAGGACTTGGGAGTCTACAAAGAGATACAGCATTATTTTCCTAAGTGTGCTGCCCCAAGGTTTCTATTGTGACCCTTCGGTGTCTGTTGAGAAGGAAGCATCATGCTAGAGAGCCGTGTTTACATCATTACTCTAAGGACATCCCTCTCTGACAAGTTGCTGTCACCACTGCTCTTGGCTCAATTTCCATTTTTGTGCCAGAGCAGGAAAAGTAGAATGTTAGACTTCCCCAGCATGTTATTGTTTCCAAGGTGCAACCTGTGGAATCCCAGTAGACCCTCAGGAAAATCAGCCAGTGATCACCTAACTCCAGCCTTCTTCATAAAGTGAAGAATCAAAGAATTTGGTCAACCCCAGGAGTACCTCATTGTAGCTTTTGTGCACCAAAACTCAAATGGGTTCCCAGAATGGGAGCACAGATGTCTCCAGAATTGCATTGGTTGTCCTGAGGATCCGACATTGTTGCCTATCCTAAGGAACCCTGTCATTCAGAGATGACAGACTCAAGTCAAATAGATCTAGAACGCTTAAGTTTGCTCAGACTATTTTTTCAGGTGTGTTTCTATTTGCAGCAAGATGGATAAAGGGATCCCCATTCTTCCCATCCCTGGCCTGCACACAGTGGAGTTTGCCCTCTTGCTACTGCTTCCTATATGGCTTTGATAGTTTTCAGTTTGGAGAGTGGAGGCCAGAATTTGGGAACTGACATTTGGTGGGGTGCAACTGGTCCTATTTACCCCTAACCCTGGGACTTCTCCAGGCTACAAATGAAACATGAAGTTTTGTGGATTTTTTCCACAAAGTGATTTATATCAATGTAATAAAATTTGAGGCAAAAGTGAATGTCTTATATGTTTAATTTCCAAAAATGGGATACAAGCATTTACAGTATTAATGTTGCAAGCAAAAATGCCCTATGTGCATTTTTAAAATCTCACATTACCACTTCATTATTCATCTTTTTCTTAGCATAAGAATTAAGGATGCATTCAATTTGGTGTTTGCTGTGTGTAGAGCAACAGTAGTAATATCTCAAGTCACGGTAGTGCAGTAGTCTGTGGACCAACGCAGGCCTCAAGTCAGCATGGACAAGACATAGTACAAATCTGTGTGCCCTCCAAGACCAGTATAACATGCCAAAGGGACTACCTTATGATGCCACAAGTTATGCCATTATTCAATACAGACGTTTTATGTAAAATTACAAACGTCTGAAAAGAATTTTGGCTGTCTCACTGAGGAACTGATGGGAATAAAATTGCATGAGGGGAAAGCCTACAAGTTTCTTCCTCTGCCTGGGAGAGCTTGAGGTCCCTTGGTGAGCTGGTGTACTTGGGTGATTCTGAAGTATGTCTTCTGGTGGTATTTGTTTGTGCAGATGAAGGCAGTGAAGTAGAAAGCGAGATGGATGAAGACCTGGATGATTCTTCAGAGCCTCAGGCCAAAAGAGAGAAAACAGAGCTGAGCCAGGCGTTCCAAGTTGGCTGCATGCAGCCGGTTCTGGAGAGTGGTGTGCAGCCCAGCCTGCTGAGCCCCATCCACAGTGAACACATCGTCACAAGCACTCAGACCATCAGGCAGTGCAGTGCCACAGGCAACACCTATACCGCCGTTTAACAGCAGGAAAACAACGTTTGCAGCTCACTTTAACCCCGCTGATACTGGGCTTAAGCTGAAATTTTAGCAAGCCTGAAGGTTGACTGTTGTCAAAAGTCTATCTGTGCTGAACATTACCTTTTTGGAGTTGTGAAATGGAATGGGTGTATGTATTTTTCCAGGTCATTTTTTTTTTAAACACGAATTATTTGCCTTTTAATAATAAGAGTTTGTCCCCTCCTTAGTTTCAGGTGTCAAGAAGGATTTTTACAACACATAATGTCGTTGTTTTTGTTTTCTCATAATTAAAAGGTAATTTACATTTTGTAGCTTAAAATATTTTATTGTTGATTGTTAGTCTTGGTGTATGATTTATGTGTAAGTTTTTTAATTAGATGCACTTCTGTGAAATATCAAAAGAAATGAATTTCTTTGATTTACACTGGAGGCATGCCCATTTGGCAGCAGATGCATCAAATTTGCTTCTGAAAGGTGCTTCTCATTGGACAGAACCATAAGACACTATTTTGATAACATTTTGGAGTACGGAGAGAATACAGAGCATTTTTATTATAGTGGTAGAGGGTTGGGAAGGTCATCTATTTTTCTCTGAAAAAAATAAAATGAGCTGTGCATTTATCAGTTCAGGGTAAATGACAGAATGGCAAGAGATTATGCTAATATGTACATAATTTGTGTACATAACTATTAAACCAGTTAACAATGCAAGCTTCCGTTAGACATTGACTTTTAACTAATTGCATACCAATTCCTCTGTTTAAAGACTACTGATTCTGTATTGGGACCACTGCACAGATGCACTCTGCTGTTAAGTGGGGCTGTTGTAGTTAGGTACTGAAGCTGAAAAATGACTTGACTTTTTTTTTTTTTTAAGTGTACATGCTACTTATACTGAGCTGGACATACAGGAAACCATTCCATTCGGATGACTTTCTTTGATTCCAGGTCTTTTTTCTAATAGTAGTTCAATATGCTGCTATTATAAAAGAAATGTATAGGATGCAAGGAATGTAGCGACCTGCATATGTTATCTCCTGGTTTCTAAAGTACATGGATTTAAATTTTACACAGAACCTAAAGGCAGTGTGACTGGCACACCTCACTGTTGCTAACCCCGATTCTGTAGGATTTGGATAGGTGGCTGGATGGACCATTGCCATTGAAGAATGTACATCAGGGATCATCGTACCTCGGCTATTACATGGTGCCTTAAAACAGAACTGAGCTAAGGTTTAGTAAGGTTTATTTTGTTCGTGTGAATAACTCGTCAATCCATTTGGTAAAGTGTGCCTGTCATGCTCAGATTCCTGAAGTAAGGACAGGTCACATGTTCTTCAAGGGGAATTTAGGGGAAAATGAAGCAAAACAAAGAGACAAAAACTTCAGTTTCTCTCTGAGTGACTGTGAGTGGACTTCTCTATGTTTTATCCTTGGAGCTGAATATCACTTGATTATAAATCAGATTGCTAAGGGTGTGGACTAACAGGCTAGCTTTCATACAAACATGTTACATAAGCATCATATGTTTTAAACCATTCTTACCTAGTTACAATTCTAGAAAGTTAACAGAATGAGCAGGTACTTATTGAAGTGCATCTTTTCAGTCTAAATGTCTATCTGTGTGTCTGAGTGTCTCTGTGTACACACACACACACACACACACACACACACACACACGCACGCACATGCGCTCACACACATACACAGACAGAGAGAGAGAGCAGGAGACTGCTACAATAGGAAGGTGAGATCCTAAAGAGCACAGGCTTATCACATTTTATTTTGCATGAAAAGCCACAGTTCTTTTAAGCACTCTATCAACAACAACAAAATAAGATACATCCTTTTGTTTAAGTAACTATAAAAGTCAGTGAAAGTCAATAAATAACGATATCAATAAAGCCAAAAAAAATAAAAAAGGAAAGGAAAGCACAAAATGATATATGAATCACTACTGAGGCCTATAATAAAATGAAGACTTCATCTTTCCAGTTGGGTTGGGTGAGGGGTATGGTTGAGGAGATGAGGCTGCGCCAATCTGGAAAGTTAAAATACCAAATGGCTTGTCAGGAAACACAGTGTATTGAAACTGTTATTGCCTGATTGTCTCAAACTTCTGAAGTTCAACAGCATTTCTTAAGTAAAATTTAAATGTCGTAAATATAATTTTTAGTGGGTTCAGATTTTGTATCACACTTGAGTCTTCTCTGGCATCCAAGCATCACTTCATTTGCTGAAGATCCCCAAAGGCAATGAATTTGCAACCCCCTCCCCTGCATAATCCATCATAAGCTGCAAAACACCATGGATCTACTTCATTGTGCATTAGAAAATGTTTACACATAGAATTTAAATCATAACATAGGTTCCCTTCATTTTGACTCTCCCTCCTGAGGTCTTTCTGTTTCCTGTCTCTACCTGTCATCCCCAGATGTCATCATGTCTCTATTGGACCAAATGTATGTACTGGCTTCACTGTGTTTATTGGTTGTTATTTTTAATGTATTTGTACCACTGTTTCATTTAATTTAATGTTGAAGATACTCGTATCATGAAAGGAATCTGCTGACAATGGACAGATTTAGATTCATGGGAGTGAGGGACTGAGTGGCCCTCCAGAATTCAACATTTCTTCCATTTGTTCATGGTTTGTTCTAAATTAGGACGGAGTAGAAATTAATAAGCGTTATTATGGTTGAAGTTGACTCTAAAATATTCTGAAATATTTTATAAATATGTAGGAACATTAATCCTTTTACACCAGTGTAGATAGTTCTAACCAATACACACAACAGAATACCTATGGCTCATGACACTTCTAGTTATTCATAGTATACACTTGCACACACATCAATTTTGGATTTAAATTGGGAAATATATTAGAAAACAAAAAACAGCAAATTAGATGCGGGCATAAATTAGAATAATTGCATTTGTTGTAATCATTTAACATTTTGTTTCCATTTTCCATTCACTGAAACCGGCTTTTCTAAATACCAGCCACTAACAGTCTCCTAGTAGACTTATTGACACAATACACATTTTAAGGATTTCTGGTATTTCTTGGCGTTGTCATCAGATGCTAGTCTTCGAATACATGAGTAGTATGAACCAAGTGGTATACTTATGATGAGGAAAAGGGACGGGAGATACATGAGCTATTGGTACATTTCAGAAGAGATATTTCCATGTAATGCAACTGAGTATCATAGGTTTAGCTTAGTATCAGCAAGTACTTAGAGAATTAGAGCCAAAAGATTTGCACTTCCAAAACCAGTGAACAATGGGTGGAATGGGTGAACCAACCTTCTCCTGGGACACAGGGCCCAGCTTTTGCTTTTTTTTTTTTTTTTTTTTTTTTTTTTCCTTTAGATATCAAATCACTAATAACTTCATGATTGGATTGACTGTATGATGAGTCTTACTGCCTTTTCAGAAATCTGAGTTCCTTTTTGTGATTTTTTCCTTGTACTGTATAGCACGGTTCATGCGCCTCTCTTTAGATGGTGTACTTTAAAAACAGAAGTGAAATACACACATAGTTTTCTCGCTGCATACCTAAAGTTAGTAGTGTGCAACATTACCTGCCTTTTGATTAGTAGTAGATGTGCAAAACTGAACCCATTCTTGCAGAATGCTGTAGATGTCGATCAGGAGTGGGCACAGCTTCCATGCTGTCACTGTGGGCCTTTGTTCATGGACACACTCTCTGGGAGTGCTTAGTGCACTCCCAGTTTTTAAGAGATGATTCCCATTATCATTTGAAATGTCTAAAATAATGCTTGTGCTTGAAACAGCTGTGTGAAAGAAAGCAAGGGTGTCACTGTGGAGGTCCTCATTGCGTGGACACAATAGGAAGTCAAAAGCTTGACTAGTCACATTTGTACACGAGGTAAGGCAGTGGTTAGCTATAACAGGTTGTCTTTGTCATAACCTCCCCCTCCCCAGATTCTTCTGAGCAAATCACAACCATCCAGAAACAAAAATCAGAAGTTTGTGGCTCACATCACAGTTTGGGGGAGGAGGGCTGGCATGCGGTGTTGTTGAACGCTGGGCTGTGAGCAACCTCCATGTACATGGTAGAACAAACCCATTAACAGAACCCTAGTATTTCTGCGAGTCTGGTGATTTTTAAAAGACTGGAATTGAAGCATTAATTCAATGCTTAGTTCTAGTCTTAGAAAAGCCCTTTGCTGTAATGCCTTGTATTAACCCTTTGAGCATTGTAAGATATACAATGGGGGATGAAAGCCTTTCAGATCATTTATTTAGACTTAAAAAAGTAAAATAGCCTCTATATCCAAATGTCTAATTACGCTGTTTTTTAAAGGGGGGGGTCAGAAAAGAAAGTGTCTCCATGCCGAACACTTGCATTTTATATACAACTCTTAATTTTACTTCAAGAGGGCTTGATATATTTATTCCCAAATATTCACTGCCATCTAAGTAAGTGTACTGTTTACAGAAGACAAAATCAACTTTTCTAGCATCACATGACTCTCTAGAAAAGGAGGACACACACATGGGCCTGTGCAGGCCTATGTTGTAACTGATATCTGCACACTGGAGGTACCTGATTGCCTTTAAAAGGTATGATAAAATAAAGGGTTCCATTTCTTCTTTTCTCCCAAAACAAAAGATCTCATTTATTTAGCTTTAGAAAGTACAGATATAAGTGAAGCCTTAGGAAGAAATGAGTTCCAACAAACACAACTAAACTTGGGACAGTTAGGCTCTTTGGCGTTGCATCTATCATAAAATATTGTTTGGAAATTCATACGGGGCATAATTTTATGTATGCTCCAAAATGTTAATACTAACAAGACAGAGCGACAGAATGGTGAGCAAGACACTAACTTGCTTTAAGCACTTCTGTCAGGAGAGGCTGTGACTACTGCTTCAGATATCTCTGAATGTCACTCTGCTTACAACATTGCTGGTTTCTTTGCCGGAATTTCTGGACAGTTGATCTGGTCCTCCTCTGTGTGACAGAACACAGAGCAGTGTTGTCTGCATATGTGCTTGTGCTGCCCTCACTGGGCCCAAACGGGAGCGTGACCTATCCCGATGTCTGCTGACATTCGTAGCATAGTGCAAGTGTCCGCACGCACGTTGCTTTTTAGGCAGTTGAGGAAGTCAGACCATGCAAATTACTCACGTGTTACCATGCAATACTCAAAGGGTTTTACTTTAGCTCTCTTCTTTTTAATCTTCATGATGATTTACTGTAAATGCTTCTCAGTTTGCATGCCTTGCCCATTGCTGCTAGTGATTTTATGTGCCAGTAGACCTGAGTTTAGTTTACCAATTTTACTTAAATAGTAAAAGCCGCTTACAAAGTGACTGCCTAGGATTGATTCTCCTTTTGTTTAAAGGGATTGGTGATATGTCTTTTTAAAAGAAATGTTTTGTCTCTTCTATTTGGTTCTGATATTTGAATATTTTCCCCCTCTTTCCTTTGTTTTCTTTTTCTTTCCTTTTTTTTTTTTTTTTTTTTTTCTTTTTCTTTTTTAACAAAGTATGACGTTGGGATTGGAAGCCCTGAGTAATGAAATATTTGGTAAGAATCATTTATGTAGCTCAATAATGATGACAACAAATCTCTGTGAGAAGTTTGATTCTGGGGAGGAAAGTGAAAATAAAACTCTGATTGACTTTTGATGACCAAGTAAAATTTCCTTGAATCAATTAGCATTTCTGAACAAATGATTGCCTTGTTTTAGCCTACCATACGCAATTTTATATGATCCAATGAGGAAGGTATTAAATTTTATTCATTTAAAAAGCATCTTTTGTACCAAAGCAGATTGTTTTCTCTGCTCATCTCCATCATCGATTTGGACCTATGGTGGTGACCAATGAGTTGGTTCTAGAAACTTAAGTGAGTGCCTTGAGAACACTTGGGAATTTGTGCCTGAGGTGGTAAACTTTTAATTAGGTTAATTGTAGCGCTTACCAATCAGTAAATCCTCTATCACTCAGGGCTTTCGTACCTTCTAGGTAAAACTTCTTTCATTGTGTTTTTTTTAAATACTGTATTTTTTTTAAGTGCCATCATTTAAATTTCACTTAGTAAGTGGCAGAATACATTCTTCAGTCCCACAAGCACATGACATAGTAACACTAGGAGATATTTGAGCATTTATTTTACAATCGACTGAATATATTATGTAAATGAGGTAAGCAACTTTTGTAGAGATTGTATGTGTGAGATAATGTAATGTTCTTTTCCAGTTTTTGGACTACAGTTGAATAAACTTTTTAATTATTTAAAAACATCTTTACCGAATAACATGTGATGGTTTTTTGTATAATGTATTTGATTTTGTAAATACGTATTTCCTGATGTGATTTTTGTGAGAAACGCTAAATCTTTTAGTATACCATGTCTTCTCAAGATTGGCAGGAGCTAAATACTAGTTTGTGGGCAATTTGTATTGTGTACTGTACAATAACTGGGGAACTTTTATAATTATAAAAATATATATTAACTTTTAGTGTGTTGTTTAAACAAATGACTGGAACATACTAAAGATATTAGTAGGATTTTTTCTGAATATTTCAGACTTGAACTCAGGCTAGCTTTCTTGTGTTTTTCAAAACAAAATGGTGTCTTGTCTTTTAAAAATCAATAAATTTGTTTCCTTGTTACAAACACTTGAAATGGCTTGTTTTTACCTCCCCCAAGTCATTGTCAGGAAGCTTGTATCACACCACCTCCTTTAGAGGGTACTCTGTGTCATTCATCAACTTAGAAACAAAATTAAGTTGTTTTCCTTCTTTGTGTCAAATGAAATTGGCAATATTTACACATGAACAGCACAAAAAGAGAAAACAAAATTATAGGCCCAGCGGGGTGTAAATCTTACCCTCAAAGAAAATTAGTGATTGAGTGTTATTTGATTTCAGAAACTGTCAACATTTCCATTGTAAATCCAGATTTCCGGGTGTTCCAAATGTGTTTGTTTTATGTCATTTCACATTGATATTTGGCATCCAAGTTCCTCGCTTAAATTGAAATCGCTTATTAAACTTCATTTTAGTGCACTTAAGAAGATTATGAAAGAATTTGGGGAATGCACATTTGTGGGAGTGATGAGTGAGAGTCGTCTTGTAGTTGCTGCCGCAAGAAAGCTTAAAAATTACTTTTTTTTTTTTTAACCTTTCTGAGAGTTGCTTTCAGAT